AACTGTCAGTTTTTTTTAATATGGGTCAAGTGCAAATACTTATTTGATGTTGGAGCAGGTGCATTATCTATTAGATTATATTATATTTTAAGCTTTTCATCTTCAATGTATTCAGGTCATTTTGCTATAGTGCTGTTGTGCATTCATGTTAGCAAATTCGATACATGCAAACAGCTTTTGTCTTATAATTAAAAACATGTCAGCTTTTTTACAGACAGGTCCTAGACAGAGCCCATCGTTCTATTGCAAAGTGCTAAATGCTAGCATTGAAGCCGATGTGACAAGGAGAATGCAAGGAATTAATCTTTTGCTTGTAATCTGAGGCTGGATGTGTCACGCTCTGGGGTTTTATCACCGACACAGCATGGAATGAATTCCACCATTTTCTCTCCCAAGGGCCATGACAGAGCTCTTTTTTCTCGCAGGCCCCGCAGGGGAGGCAAAAAGGAAAAGGGAACCCAGAGAAGAGGGGACAAAGATAGCGGGATGGAGCTGTTGATAAACTTGCAGAATAGTTCTCTGTAGGCACTAGCTCAGTGGAGTCTTTGTGAAAGTGAGAAGGGGAGAAAAAAAAGGYTCGAAGCAAAAAGGAGCAGACTGAGCGAGAGAGATTGAAGGGTTTCCTTTGCTTAATCAGAAGCAGATGAGTAAAGGGGCGACCGTTTGGGAACAAGTGCTGTTTCAGTCTTCAGTCTCTGTTTAAAAGGACTTTAAGAAACAGTGTGGACACAGCAACTTCTGTCTACATAATGACAGGACGCAGGACTTTTCGCTGGAACAAAATGAGCAGTACATGTAGTGATGTTCTGCACCGCTCCAATGTTCTACAGGTACTGTTCACTTGTTCTGTCAAATATTAAGTGGCCTGTCAGAGTTGCATTATCAAAAATGAGTCATCAAAAATGCAGCCATCAATCAAACTCAACTTGGTGCTCTGATCGTTTATCAAAAAATAAAATAAAATAAAAAACATAACAGGCGCTAATAACTCAACTCCTCAAAGTAATGCTTTAAATAATGACTTTTTRTAATTATGACGTCTGAGGAGTGTTTTTTCATAGTGATTCTCTAATTAGCATATTTTCATTATCTTGGCAAATGAATAATTTAGAGGGTCTATAATAGACATGAATTATTACACTATGGTACAGTGATGGATTTAAAGGGGCACCACACTCAATTTGTGTCTCAATCCCTCCCAGGATGACATGAATAATTAGTAGAAAAATGTCGCTCCTGTGACTGAGCAGGAGTTAACATTGCTGCACTGAATGACCGACTTCTTGATGGATTTCAATTCATTGTTTTCTTTTTATTACAGCAGGTCCACTAATTTGCACTTTTTTTCTTTTTATTCAGAACWCCAGGTAGCAAGACAAAACAAAGCTACTCATGTCTGCTTTTTCTTCTTTTATGCACTTGATCACGTTTTAATCATCCGATCAGACTATTCAAAAAGAATAGATTTGAAATAATGTACAATTTTCCCCCACATGTTTCTACAGATGTTGTTTAACCCTTTAGCTCAAACTTTCTTTGCCGCTTCCACCTAGTCCAGTTCAAAACACACTGTCAGTTTAAGATGAAAACAAAGTGATTTATGTTGTCCCCCCCCTCCCTACTTTTTCAAAGTAATGAGATTCCATATTTCGACTCACTTGACAGATGGATTGGAAATTAAAAACCTTAGATAAGTAATGCCTTTTTGATGTTGGACTGTGAATAACTCACACCGGGCTGATTGATTTCAAAACTCTAGTGACAAAGTGCACATGCTGTTCAGGGGACAACATGCCCACGCCGCTATATGTCACATATTACTTTTTGTGGAGGCCCTGTCTCTGTAAATTCACTTTAAAGGAAGCCAAGTTTTCATTCATTGCAGTGCCTTAGAATACTGTAYGCTCAATTTTTTACAGATGTGATTATTGTCAAATCAAAAGGAAAGGCACTGAATTATGTAGGAGCAACATTTCACCTTGAAAATGACAGCAATGCAACTGAAGGAATTGCATTTCTGTGTAGGCGCATGCATTGGCTTGCCACACTTTTGCTGCATTGAAACAACCCTGTGCTATACAATTAACCACATTGCGATGCATACAATGGAATACTTTTGGTGTTTTTCACATGTTAGATAAAGGAAATCAGTAAAGGCAAARGGCTTCAACCAGTACAATTTGAATTTGCCTCACGAGTACTCTTCATTCAAGTAATGAAAGCCTCTTTCATTTGATTAATTTAGTGTTTGGTATTCATCTGCACACATTATATCATCTCTGCATGTGACCTTTTCAAACTGTGCTCTTGTTTTGCTCTGTGATGCCTTTATTTCGTCAGCACCTGCAGTCAGATTCTTTGTCTTTTTATTTTAATTTCTTTTCTTTTTTTGTGAGGACAGACAGTTGTCTATTGCTTTAGAAGAGACAGAGTGAAAATATCGAACCGGTTCATTCAGGGAAGTCACAACAGCGCCAACGTAACAGTGATTCATCAGGGAAAAAGTGCTTGATGTGCAGAGTCTTACCTCTCAATTTTACATCAAACATTTAAACTGCTGAACATAATGGCTGGAATGAGGTAGAGGTGCATGGCCATCTGAATGACTGGTGTTAATAGTGATTTGGGCTGTCACCTATTGCTGAAAAACACCATTTTAACACAAGAGACGAGTGATTGGTCATAGTAAAGTGCTTTCTAGAAGAGCTTTAAAAGGTAAACTAGTGCTTTCACTACCAGGAAATATGACAAGAGAGCCCCTATAAATACAACTATAGTGAAAACATGTAAAGTTCAGAGTTACTGGGGCAGTATAGAATGCAATCTTGAAGCCGATTTTCTGTTTGAAAGAAAGTAAAAATCCCAGTTAGTGCATAAATGAWGGAGAATGGATCCTCATTAGGACCACAGGTGTGTAATACCACCAACATCCCTTACTGCCCTATACTCCATCAACCTTTCCAATATTTTTGAACTGTTTCTGTTGTAACAGGAATTACATTGCTTTATTTTTTTCTTCGTCGAAGTCGTGTCCCCCCCCCCAAAAAAAAAAGGACCAAAAAAAAGGTACCAAATTATGAAAAATAAAGCACACAAGAAGAACTCAGTAATTATGTGTGTGGGTGTTTCTTTGTAAATAAGACAGATAATTAATCACACAAACAAATACATACAAATGAATAAATAAAGACAGATTCCAGAAGCTGCCTGCAATGCTCYTCTCTGCCTTGTGTCTCTGAGAAACAGTGGGCGCTCTCATTAGGCTCAGGGACGACATCCAGTGATTCATTACCCGCTTCATGCAAAACCCTGCTATTAAAACTCTAAAAGCCATTAGAGAAATCCATAATGAACCCCACTGCCAGCAGGTGCACATGGGGAAAGGGGTGGCTGTTGAAGGGGAGTGGGATGGAGGGGTGGGGGGTGTTCTCTTGAAGATGACACAAACAACACTGCTACATGACAGTGTGGGATTCTGTAGCCTATTAGTATCGCCACAACAGCCGCGGCGGACGGCATAAAGAAGCTGTCGGCTGGTTTTCGAGTTAAGTCGAGCTCTGCCTCGCTTCATTTGTTATGCAGAGCGGGTCCGTACAGCACTGGTTGTTGCTGGCGTGGCGTGGAGGTGTTAGTCAAACGTGGTGTGACAGGATTGACTGTGGCCTGTTTACTGAAAAGAGTTCAGAACAGGATCAGCTAAACATACATTATGGAAGATCGATATTGGCTGAAGAACTGAGCAACGGGCTTGATATTAGTCTGGCTTCGCTGCCAGCTTGTGTTTGGCCACTTAAAAGTGACACCGCCACCACCTAATTCCTGCCATTTAGACCGATAACTGTTCAAGGGGAGCTATTTTCCTGCAACACACCAGATTGATCTGGTGTAAATTTGGTTTGAGGCTAAATAAAAAAAAATATCTTGAGACCAGTCTTTAAAGGGCCAACGTTATGTGTTTCTCAGGCATATATTTAAATACTATACCATAGTAAAGCATCTATCTCACCTTTAGCTGTTATTAAAATGCTGTTTTTATATTTAAATAGAAAATTAACTTATCTTCTCATCACTTCCTCTTCTAAACACCTTGAAACAGTTTCGGTGTGGGGTGCGGGGGGG